ATAGCTGGCCAACTCATCTGGGTCCAGGGAAGGCTTCTTGAGGAGGGGCCTCACGACGGCCTCCTTAAGGGCCGCCGGGAAGACACCCTCCTGCAAGGAAGCGTTGATAATTCCCTGGAGCCAGGCTCGTGTACCCTCCCGAGCTGCCAGTACCAGCCAGGAGGGGCACGGATCCAACAAACATGTGGTTGCATTCAGCATTCATCATGGTGTCACTATGAGAATAGGGTGACCTCCAATTTAGTGGCTGGTTATCTTGACTTCCCACTCTATGGGCTCCATTCTAAAAACAGGTTGGCAAATTGCTGGAGATCTTGGCCTCAAAGTACTGGTGTTTAATGCCAGGTTTGTTTGTAACAAGACCACCTCTATCCATGACTTATTGGTGGATGCAGCAGAGGTGGCATGCATTGCCAAAATCTGGCTGGGCAGTGGCCATCATGTTGCCTTGCCTGAAATCTACCCAACTGTGTATCAAATCCTTCAGCAGGCTCAACAGGAGTTGGTGGGATACAGTAACAAATCACTTTACCTATAGCTATTTACTCTGCTCCCACCATACAGAATGTGAAAGTCTATATGATAGGTTGGGTTGTAGAGAGGAACTTGAGATTCTGCTGGTGTCCCAGCCATCCCTGCTGCCTGAAGAACTCTTCATGGATTGCTGCAGATAGTCTCTGGGTTAGTGTCCTTTGTGAAGGACTTCATCCTCTATGCTTTGGGGACGTGATTCTGATAACATCTAGGCCTGATAGGTGAAGGTCACGTTACACCTTGTCTTTTTTTCCCTATTATTATTATTTATTTATTTTTGGTGGAGCTGAGGTTCTATGATTTTGAGAGAAAAGGGATTTCCACTACCTTTTTGCTGTGGTCAAATCATATTTTGATCTAATTGAGAAACACTAGATTGGGGTGGAGGGGATGAGACATTGGTGGCAGATAAGCTTCACAGCACCCGAGAAAAAGTGGATGAATTTATTCTTTTTCGTCAGGCCCAAGTATCCACTGAGGTGGTTTTGGCTGTCTCTTGGATGATCTTTGTCAAGACCTGGATGGGATGCTGCACTTTCCTGGTCTTCTTATATCTCTAAGTGTTTTTTGATATCATTTAAAGTGGCTATGTTACTGGGCCACCTACAGGAGTTAGGGATATAAGGCACTGCCTTAGAGTGTTTCTCCTCTTCTTAGCAAGGTTTTTCAGAATTGGTTTGCCATTGCCTCCTTCCTAGGATTGAGAGACAGTGATTGGCCCAAGATCCCTTAGCTGACTTTGTGTCTAAAGCAGGACTGGAACTCACAATCTTCTGGTTTCTAGCTTGATGCCTTAACCACTACACCAAACTTTTTATTTTTGTTATCTCTCTGCATATGTTATAAAACCATTGGATATTGGGAGACTGTATCAGAATATAATTAATCAATTATATTAATCAATTAATCAAATAAATATCAAAGCAGTCCAGAGTAACCCCTGCTAACTGCAAATAGAAACAGGAAGGAAAATAACATTGGTCAAAAACAGAAAGGCAGTGTCAGATCTACGCAACTAAAAAGGTAGCATGACTATCAATCTCAGTTAAGTAATTAAATCAGAAGCTCTTTTTTTAAAAAAAAAAAATGCATTTTATTTAGAAGTCTACCAGTTACAATCATTAACATAATTATATTAGACAGTATGTTTACTCCTAAATTTATAGGTGTTTGTATCTTGGAACTGTGTTTAATACCACAACTTGTATTACTGGTATCTATTATTTCTGGTTCTTCTGATATTTTTTCCTGTGCACTGCAGCATGAAAGGCTTCAATGATTTTGCTTTCATTGTTGAGGATGTTGTATTCTGTTAATTTCACCAGTTTGTCAAAATTGTCTTCTGAGAAGGTCACCTCCCTTGTACCAAATGGGGAAAAGAAGCTGGAGATATCCACATTGCCCTCTTCCATATTAGTAGATGAGCGTTCCACACCTATAAAAAAAAAAGCAACACTTCCATCAATAGAGCATAGATTTAAGATGGTACCTTTCAGATTATTGGATTTCAATTCTGTTTCTGCTCAGGGAAGGTTGATCTAAGATATGATTGTGAAGATTCAGTCAAACCAGTCAGTTGAATACGATAGGTTTATTGGCCTTATTTAAATACTACTTATTATTTAGTTCTCTTGTATAAATACAATATTGGGGTCCTATAAATCAGTTTTCTGTAAGAGTACACAAAACTATGGAATCACAATCACATCAAAACTCATCCACAATGATATAGATGACACCTAGTCTCTGTTGTTAAGCATGTAACTCATAACCCTAGTTACTCATAGAGTTTCATTAGTCAGATTTATTGAAAGTAAAGGGGTTAGGTTACAGAATCTAGGAAACAAGAACTCTTTTGTTCAACACCCTAATTATCAGAAAATATATTAAGAGAGGTCTCTTTGACCCCTTTGAACCAACTGCTTTTATGTTGCGGGAATATTGCTATCCAATTGACTGATAAGATGTTCTGGCCTTGTAATATTTTGTAGCCATTGTTCCTGTTCCCAGAAAATTCCATGATACTTGGGTATTTGAAAGACTGCAAGTAGAACCAATTCTTTCAGTACATTCAGCCAGAATGGGGATGCTGAAGGTATCTCCCTTAATGCAATACAAGAAGGAATAGCAGCATTTTCTCTAATTTCCTATTTCTTATACCACAGAACAGCTTTGTATCTCCAGAAATATGAATGGTACCCTCCCTCACAATTTTTGGAAAGGTTTGAAAATGGAACCCTTTTGCAGAACTTTTAATAAAGGAGGAAGAAGGAAGTCACCATGAGATGCTACATTTATTGCTTACAGGGTTATGGTTAAGGTATGT